GAATTTTCAGCTTTCGACCACTCTGTCTTTCGACCATGGACTTGAATCTGGAAAATACCTCAATCACATCACTTTTCTTCTTGATGAGGTAAGTCCATAGCTTTCGACTGTAATCATTTATAAACGTGACAAAGTATCTATTGCCACTAATCGAATCCACCCGGATTGGACCACATACATCAGAGTATATGACTTCAAGTATTGCCTTCGACTTCCTTCCTGCATCCTTGTTGAAGCTATTCTTGTGTTGTTTCGACTGAACACACTCCTCACAGACTTCACTTGGAATGTCGATTTCTGGTAATCTTGAAACCATATTTCTTCTCTTCAGTTCTCTGATGTCATTAAAGTTGAGATGACCTAGTCGAAAATGCCATAACCACTCATCTCTGCTGGCTGCAGTTGCCAGACACTTGTGCTCCATCACATTGAGTCCAATCTTGAAGGTCCTATTCTGAGACATTGGAGCCTTCAAGATTAGTCTACCACCTGCGTCGAGGACTCTCATCATCTTGTCTTCGACAACTACCTTGTAGTTCTTTTCGACAAGCTGCCCTATACTGAGCAAATTACTCTTCATGCCTGGTATGTACAACACATTGGAAAATTTTTGACCTTTTGCCATCTTTCCTCATAATCAGAACATCACCAACACCTTCAGCTGCTAGAGTGTTGTCATTTGCAAACTTCACTGTATTCTTCGACGAGGGATTCATGTTGACAAACCAATCTTTCCTTCCAGTCATGTGTGATGAGCATCCTGAGTCCAAGTACCACTGATCTTGGAATCTTTCTTCATCGTTTGTTGTGACCATTAGCAACGTTTCTTCTTCTTCATGTTTCACCAGCTTTGCATCAGTCTCTTGATTTCTCTTCTTTTTTGGACAATCACTAACATAATGACCATACTTCTGGCAATTGAAACATTGAATGTGGCTTTTGTCTGTCTTTCGATCACCACCTCTTCCTTTACCTGCAGCAGCACCTCTTTGGTTGCCTTGGTTCCAAGGTTTCTTCTGATTCGATTGGTTTCCTCCTTTGTTGCCATTCCAGCTACCTTTGCCTTTTCTTTCCTTTTCTGACTGCGCCTTCAAAGCCATATCTTTCGACTTTCCTGCAGCTCTCTCAGCCATCCTCTGTTCATGAGACTCAAGAGTCCCTTGAAGCTCTTCCTTCGTCAACACTGACAGATCTTTAGACTCTTCTATGGCAACTACCACGTGGTCGAATTTTGGAGCCAACGATCTCAAGATTTTTGAGACAAATGCTTTCGTCGTCAGCGCTTCTCCACATACTTTGATTTGATTCACCAACTTTATAACTCTGGTGAAGAAATCTGTAATGCTTTCGTTGTCTTCCATATGAAGCAACTCATAGGTTCTCTTGTGAGTTTGTAACCTCACCTCTTTCACCTTCTCTGCGCCTCCAAACGACTTTTCAAGAATCTTCCATGCTTCTTTTGCTGAATCAACATCGCTAACCTTTTCAAAGTTATCAGGATCAACACATTGATGAATTATAAAGAGTGCTTTATAATCCTTCTTCTTCAATTCTTTGTGTGCTGCCTTTTCTGCCTCCGTTGCGTTCTCCACCAGCGATGTTACTCCGTCCTTCACAAGATCCCAAAGATCTTGATAATAGAAGATCACCTTAACCTGCTTGCACCAATTCTCATAATTGTCTTTCTTGAGAATTGGCAGGGTCGCCGGAAAGTTGTCGTTTGGATAGTTCATCGCCATCACTATCTTCCTTCCTTGAATCTCTTAACCGGAGCTCTAGATACCAGATGTTGGAAATTCACCTCACACCCTATGAAGAATTCCCTTCAATCTTGATCTCAAGATTGATGAACAAACCCACAATATGATAATGATGGTAATAACAAGTAATTATCAAGAACAACAAAAGAGAAGAAGAATAACAAACAAGAAAGAGAAGAATGAGAGAAGAAGTATTTGGAGAGAATGTGTTACCCACAACTGTGGGATTTCTTATTGAACTTTCACTTGCTAATTGCAACTGTGAAATCTGTTCTGTTATGATGTAGAATACAAAGAAAGGCACCCTGTTTATAGTTTTAGGTTTACACTAGCCCAAAACATAAAAGGCCCAAAATATTCTAAATCAAATCTAATCATATGATATCAAATCTAATCATATGATATCTAATCATATCATATCAAATTAATCATATGATATCAAATCTAATCATATCAAATCACAATGAATTATATTTAACAATAATTTTTACACACATGAAGCTTATTTTGAGACGGCCGAATTATCTCATATTGTAGAGCAACTCCAAAATATTCTTGTCACTCGGGCATGTGCCATGTTATTATCTCTATTAAAGGTTTCAAATCTTATATTCTGTCAAAGATTGTCTCCTTCCATATGAATCATTGACTTTAGAGTATTACGCCATATGTCATATTGTGATAAATCATATACATCATCTATGTCAATTATGACTATTGATGGTTATTCCATGAGTAGATATTGGTTCTCTCTCCTAAACTAATATGTTATTTTATGATTTTTATCATGTTTCTAACATTACTTTGAGTTTTGCTTTTGTTAGTCAATTGTGAGATTTTGGTTATTCTTTTACGTTTTCTTCCACTTTCTGTTATCTCTCAGATCCATATTCTAGGAGGGAGGAAGCTGAGTCTTAAATATTGTAGCCTCCATTTCTACTTCCACTACTGATTTATTAGTTTCTTTTTTTTTTCTTTCAATTATTCTCCTTCCCGTTTTTAATATTTGCATTCTCGTTTAGAATATGTATCTTCTTCTATATTAAAGTATTTGTTAAAGCATACTTCTAGAATTATCTACCTTGGATTTAAACCACAGTGATGTCAATTTACTCATCAATCACCTTGTTGCTCGCTACCATGATGAATTTTAAACAACCTTGGTAAAGTTCAAGTCACCCTTAAACCTTAATCTCACCACTTGCATCTACTTGATTTCAACCACCTTTTCTTGTTTAGATAATCTAACAAGCCAACACGCATGATTATTACACCATTTAGACTCTGCCTACTTTCAAACGCCTCCCTAAAAGTCATTGTTTATGAGTTTTCAACCCTTCAACCACATTCATAGCATAACATTCAAGGTCATCATAACATACCTTAGGGTAGTAGAATCTCCCTCATTAACTTATCAAAAGTCAAATAATCAAATTATTTTGTAATCGATCCTTCATTACTACTAATATACATAGTAGAAACCTTTACCTTAAGCTGATTCTTCTCCGCCATAATTTCTAAAAACTTCATCTTCAAATTTGTTGTCTTCCTCCTCGAGCGAGACTCACTTAAAGTATCACACATGCAAATTATGAAATTCAATCCTACGTGTTTTACTTCCCATAGCTCATACCCTTCATACCTCATAAATAGTCATTAACAACCTTCAAATAAGAGTAGTTTTTAGTTTTTCTACTACAAACCATATGTATCTAGAAGTATATTCTTGTAAATGAACAATTGTCAACCAGGTAAGGTGTTTTGGCATCAGCCTTACTTAAGAAATTAAGAAACTAAATGGCAACTCAGCGGTCAAATCCATTTTTATTCTTACTCTCTTGTAAAACTCATTAAAGTGTTCTAAAACAACATTTAGACTCCACCATGCCTTGATGTCAAATTTCATAGTGTGGTCTTGTCATAAAATTCTTCACTAGGTGATTAAGAAGGAAAAAAAATATTGAAACCTTCTAAAATACATAACCCATCAATTTTAAACTTTTTAGCCATGATTGGTCCTCCATGCAAAATCTTTAATATTTGATATTCAATTCTAGTACAATAGTTTAGATCATCAAACATGTTTATAGATAAGACATTTCGCCTAAGTTTTGAAACATTTTAAATATGATTGTACCAATGGTATGAACATTGCAAGTCTTATTGTCACCAAGAAAAATTACTCCACTTTCCTCTAATTTCAATGGTTTAAAGTATTTTTTTTTATATATGTGATAAGAGCAATCTGAATCTATGGCTCAACTCTGTTGACTCTCCAAACTCGACACCACTAAAATGTAGGTGTTTTAAACACAAAACTCAACATAGACTTAGGGTATGGTTGGATATACCGTAACAAATATTTAATAAGTGTTAATTAATTATATAAAATTGATCATGATTAAAAATAAGTTTAAAATAAAATTATTTAGGTTTAGATACACTCACGTAAAATTGAGTTAGACAATAAATTTCATAAATTTTAGTATAATATCACATTTAAATTTAAAAGATACAAATCATAACTTTAAGCAAAATTAATTCTTATAACAAAATCAATTATACTTTAAAAGAACCACGTCAAAATCAATTCTGCACTTTGGATGTCGTATAAACACAAAATATTGTGTCTCGATGCAAGTTTAACTTAAAAATGCTAAAACTGCAAAATTAAGCTTTTGCCCAAACATGAGAATCTATGTGATTCCATCAAAGCCACGGCAGGACCAAGCCAAAGCTTAGTATATGTTTGATTTCAGTAATAAAATCGCATCATAAATCATATTTTGTAGTGATTTAAAGAAGCTACAACTACTATTTCTGATTTCACTTCTCATCTTACATTTGAATATGTCAATGCTTATCCGGTCTTAACCAAAAATTCTACTAAGTTTCATATATGTCGTTTGAAAAATCAACCTAGAGTTGGGTCAAAATACAAGAATGAATCAAGCATATCACATCAAAATCAATACTATTCATAAATAACATTAAAATCCTTTCTTACTACTATACATATATGCTATGGTATGTACACTTTACAATCAAAATCCAAAACTATAAAGTTGAAATCTCATAGTTTAAAAAAAAAATATCATCTTTTACAAAGCCAAACACACAACACAGACACCAGACACTAGACACCACTGACGAACAATGATATACATATTTAACACTCGATACGCCTTCAATCTAAAACATCAGGGTCATATAGGCTCCAATTAACTTCATGACAAAGATTCACCTACCCTCAACTAAAGATCCAGACCAAGTAACAGATGTTGATGAAAACTGAGGAACATCTTGAAAAGTTGGGTGTGATGCATAACTAAAATACAAAGAATACTCAGACAAAATATCTCTTGATTTCAATTGTTGCAACAAATAACTATCCACATTCTCTGACTCTTCACCTCCTTCATTCCTCCCTTCTAAAACATTCACCACTTGTCTCATACTTGGCCTAGATTTAGGTTCAGGATAAGCACACAACAAACCCAAATGCAACACTCTCTCCAACTCCTGCAAACTAAACTCACCTTTAGCCCTTAGCCTCTCATCAAGAGCACACACAAGCTCCCCTTGTTCCAAAAGCTTCCATACAAACTCAACCAAACCCGGTTTACCTTCTTCCAACGGCCGCCTTCCACATATGACCTCCAAAATCAAGATACCGAACATGTATACATCGGTATGAGTTGAAGCTCGACCCGTTTTGATCACTTCAGGAGCCATATAACCGACCGTTCCGACCAACTTAGTCGTTCTAGCTACTTGGCCATGGTTTTGCAGCCTAGCTAAACCAAAATCACCTAACTTTCCATTCATATCTTTATCAAGTAAAACATTACTAGCCTTGATATCCCTATGCACCACCTTAACTTCCCAACCTTCATGCAAATACAAAACAGCATAAGCCACATCTTTAATAATCCTTATTCTATCTTCAAAATTCAACATCTTGCTCTCATAATCATCATCAAAATCAACAAACACTCTTTTATCTAAACTTCCATTTTCCATATAGTCATAAACTAACAAGAAATTTCCAGCATTTTTCTTGCACCAACCTCTTAAGCCTACCAAATTCCTTTGCTTTAACCTTCCAAGAGTTGAAACTTCTGCAAGAAACTCTCTCATCCCATTATTCTCAAGAGAAATGTTCTTCACAGCAATCACTACTCCTCCTCTCAAAACACCTCTATACACTTTTCCATTTCCACCAATTCCAATCACATTCTCCTCAGAGAAACCTTTTGTGGAAGCTTTAACTTCTTCATATGACATTCTATGTGGCCAATACTCCATCTCCCAATCCTCCACTTCACTTCTCTTCTTGTCTCTCTTTCTCTTCTCCTGAATCAAAAACACTACCAACAAAACCAAAACACAAACAATAAAGAAAACTCCTACACTAAACCCTGCAACAAACCGTTTCGACTCAAAAATCGAATCTTCTGGAAGAACAAAAGAGGGTAAACCAATAGTAATAATCTCATCACTGAACGAAAAATTTGTATTGCTAAAACTCCAAGCTAAAATTTTATGACTTTGAACTAGTTGCCCAGTTGAGCTAGTAAATCCAACAAACATCTCATCTTCAAAAACATCGGATAAATTCAGAGAAACATTCAACAAAGGTTTAACAGGTTTTCTCATACCCAATTTTGACATAGTAACATTAATCAAAGAATCTTCATAATCAATCCAAACTTGGTAATTCTCACCATTATTCAACACCAGTTTCTGAAAAACCCGATCTTTTTCATTTCTTGTATCATCAAGCCAAAATCCAGCATCATGGAAAACAACAGACGTTAGAGAATTTACGTCGATTCCAACATGGTTGTCGTTGATGTCTTTGAATTCCTGGTTCATGAAAACATCAAACTCAACACCGAAAACATGGTTATTTGAATCTCCGTTATTAGTAAGGTTAAAAAGACCAAGATGCTGAGCCGAACTGGTTCCTTGTATTCCTTTAACAGGCGTGAAGATGAAAACTAAACCATGACCTGGAAGTGTATCTTCGAAAGGCGCCATGGAAAAGATGAAGGAAGTGGAGAAAGCATAAACATGAGAAGATGAAGAGTTTTTCGTTGGGATTTTTTGAGGGTAAAGAGCACGACCAATGGAGAAAGATTGGTGATGGGTGAGTGTTAGAATTTGAGAATCAATGGTGGAGTTTCCAAAGAGTGAGATGTTTGAAGAGATGAAACGGTTGAAGATGAAATCAACGGCGGAGATTGAGGTGAAGAGAAGGAAGAAAGATGATGAGAGAAGAAGAAGATGATGATGATGTTGAGAGTTTTTGTGTCGGAGCATGGTGACAGACACTGTGTGAAAAAACAAAAACAAAAACAAAAACAAGCAACTATGTTTGGTCAATTATTTGTGCTCAGCTATTAGATTTTGTAGTAATTGATGTTTATAGAAAAGTACTAAAATAAATGTGTTGACTAAGGATTAAAATTTTTTAATGGAGAAGTGCCCAAGTTTTCTTGCTTAGACAAAATCAAACCAATGACTGTCATGCATTACCATATAGAGAAGACTTTAAATTGTTAAGCAAATGAGTGAAAACTCAAAGGAACTCAATTGTGTATTTTGATTTTACTTTCTTATAGGTTTTCTATTTAGAACACTTTATATATATATATATATTTCATAGTGTTGGTAAAAAGATGGAGTCTAAAAAGCTAGAAAAAGAGATAACAATTGCTAGAAAAACAAAAACATAGATATGTGGCAAGGAATATTATGGCCGGTATAAAGAATCCACTATGGAGATGAATTTGAATGAAGTTAATGTCCATGTGAATGTCAATATCAACTCAGAATATGCAAATGAGGTTATCCTGGCTGAACTTAATGAAAATATGGTTTAGATTATGATTCTCTTCGGCACATCATTTTAATGAGGAGCAGAATGACATGGAAAATGAGCAAACCAAGAAAATGAGGAGTCATTGGTTGTAGTTCCAAATTTTCTTGCTGTGGTCCTATAAGATATGGATTTTTTTAGAGAAGTTTGGGCTAACGTGGATGAGATGAAGCGGTTGTTGATTTGGAGGATAAAGTGTTAAATTTTTACCTAATTATCATAAGTATTTATTAACTTAAATCACAAGAAACAACTGGGGTTTGGGGGACAGACTAAAGATAAAGCAAAAGAAGGCAAAATACGACATTTTGTTGACTCCATCTCGCTAGGCAAAGAAGATACGCTCCCTAGCCGAGTAAAAATTTTTTTTTTCTCACACACTTAAACACTTAGAACCTATTTATTTGAATATTTCCGTTAAGTGTAATATTTGATTCTTGTATATTTTCTTCTTGAAGCATCTTGTAAAAACAAAACCTATTTATCTTAACTTTAGGTTAATTTTCTTGAGAGACTAAGTGAAGTCAGAATTCTCAAGAAGTCATTAACAGGTAGTCTTTGAGTTGTTTTCCGTTAGAGACTAAGGTATAGTAAGAATTTCTCAAGAAGTCGTAGATTGTGTGTCTTTAAGTTTGTTGTAATTAGATTGATTATTGGATTAAGTCCTTATTAAGAAGGCAAAATCACTCAGGCGAGTAGACTGGACGTAGCTTAGTTAACAATGAATCAGGATAAAAATAGTTGAGTTCTTATCTTTATCATTGTGTTATTTTGGATCAAACTCTAGTCTCGACAAAGGTAGTTTCATGGTTCAACAGGAGTTGTGTATGTTGGAGTCGAAGTTTGCTCAAGCATGTTGTCGAAATATGTTAGCTTTATGTTTAAGTTAGCATGTCGAATTAGACCTTACTTGTAAGCTCAATTGTTAAGTTAGCTTGTAGGCTAAGTTAGCTTAGTAGTCTATAAATAAACTAGTTCTCTCAGGTAGTTAAGAAGGGTTAATTGTTGGTATTCACTTGTAATCTTTGAACCTTTATTAAGAAAGTGAATAGTAAAACAGTTTTAACGAATTCTTATTATTCTTCTTCCTTCTTTTCGATCATTTGTGAAACCTAATATGGTTTCTTGTGTTTGTTCAAGAAACTCAATCTTTTTCTCATATTTTTATTTATTCTTGACAACATCAATTCACAACAAACTGGTGTGGTGAGCGTGAAGGAGAAGATGTTGTCAACAAAGTATGAGATTAAGAAATTCACTAGTGTAAATGATTTCGGTTTGTGGCGCTTGAAGATGCAAACCCTTCTTGTTCAACATGGTTTGTTAGAAGCGTTGAAAGGATCGGAGAAGATGGACATTGTCCTATCGTAGAAGGAGAAGACAACGATGATCAGCCCACAGTGTCATTATGTTGAGTCTTGGTGATAAGGTTCTCTAAAAGGTTTCAAAGGAGAAAACTACAGTTGGTGTGTGGACGAAACTTGAAGGTTTGTACATGACGAAATCGTTGGTTAATCGTCTCTACCTGAAGCAAGCTTTATATTCATTTAAGATGAGAGAAAATAAAGCCTTGGCTGGATAGCTGGATATGTTCAACAAGTTAATTCTTGATCTTAAAAACATTGAGGTCAAGATTGATGATAAAGATCAAGCGTTGCTGCTATTGTACTCTTTACCTAAGTCTCATGCTCACGTCAAAGAAACTCTCTTGTATGGAAGAAAGTCGTTGACCTTTGAAGATGTTCAATTGGCCTTGTACTATAAGGATTTGAACAAAAGCCATCTTCTGTTGGTGAAGGTTTGTCCGTTAAGGGAAAATTCTTGAAGAAAGATGGTAGGTTTAAGAAGAAAAATGGTAAAGTTCTACATAATTCTTATGATGGTAATGCTCCTACTATTAAGTGTTATTATTGTAAGAATGAGGGTCATACAAGAAAAGTATGCCCTGATCGACTGAACAATCATGGTGGAAAAGATAATGGTAATGCAACTATTGTGCAAGATGGTTATGAATCATCTGATGTCCTGGTGGTTTCAAGCAGTGGCTCTAGCAAGGAGTACATTAGGGATTCATGGTGTACTTGGCACATGAATCCAAACAAAGACGTGTTTGAAGAATTGTGTGATCAAGATGGTAGATCAGTAATGTTGGGGGAAAACAAAGCTTGAAAAATTACAAGTATTGGATCTGTGAGATTCAAACTCCATGGTGAGTCAATAAGGCTTGACTGATGTTAGGTATGTACGTGATCTTAAGAGGAATTTAATTTCTCTTGGTGAATTTGACAAGAAAGGATATATTTTCAAATGAGAGCAAAGCATCCTAAGGATAATGAATGGGTGAAAAGGAAGTCTTGAGAGGCGTGAAGAAACAAGGCTTGCATACCCTTGAGGATTGGGTTGTAAGTGGTTTAGAAGTTGTGGCATCCACGAAACCTGTGTCGAAGACTGAGGTATGGCATAAGATACTTGGCCATGTAAGTGAAAGAGGCTTGGTCGAATTATCAAAACAAAATCTGGTGGGTGGTGACAAGGTCGAAAAACTGAAGTTTTGTGAACCTTGTGTGTTTGGTAAATCCTGTAGAATGAAGTTTAACAAAGGTAAACAAAGAACACATGAATCCCTTGATTACATTCATGCTGATCTTTGGGGGGCTACAAGGAATCCTTCACACCCAGGTGCAAAGTGTTTTTTATCCATAGTTGATGATTACTCCAAAAAGTTATGGATATTCATCCAGAAGACTAAGGATGAAACTTTTGAAAAGTTCAAAAGTTGGAAGACTCTGGTCAAAAACTAATATGGTAGGAAGGTCAAGAGGTTGAGGACTGACAATGGTCTTGAATTTTTCAATGAGGCTTTCGACATCTACTATGATGCATATAGTATTGCAAGGCACAAAACTACTGCAGGGACTCCTAAAAAAATTGTTTGGCTGAAAGGTTTAATCGATCCATTATGAAAAAGGTGAGGTGCATATTGGTAAGTGCAGGATTGAGCAATGTGTTTTAGGCAGAAGTTGTTGTGACTATAGCATACTTGTTAAATAGGTGTCCCTCGACAGCCTTAAGAATAAAGACACCTAAAGAAGTCTGGTCGAAACATCCACCTAGTCTCGAAAGACTTAGAGTATTTGGTTGTTTAGAATATGCTCATATTAGGTAAGACAAGGTCGAACCTAGAGCTCTGAGATATATGTTCCTTGGATACCCAGAAGGAGTCAAAACTTATATATTGTGGTGCCTAGAGCCAGGTCACATGAGGTGTATCACAAGTCAAGATGTAGTTTTCAATGAAGCTGAGACGACTTTCAAGAAAATTGATGATATTGGTCGAAGTTCTAAGATGTCTGAAGAATAGTTGGAACATGAAGAAATTTCTATTGAGGTGGAGCATAGTGATGCTGAATTTCATAACCCATATGAAGTCAAAGAAGAATCTCAATTTGCTGATGACGATGAGAAGACTGATAGTGACTATCTGCTGGCAAGAGATAGGTCGAGGAGAGTCATCAAGCCACCTTAGAGACTTGGTTATGCAGATCTTATAGCTTATGCCTTAATCTCTGCAAGTGAGATTCTGGACGAAGAACCTAGAGACTATAAGGAAGTAATGAGGAGTTGAGACAATACATTTCCAAGTAGCAAGTTTTTCCACTATATGCATTTGATAAAACTGCATGATGAAAACTAGTTTGTTCCCTTGTTAGTGCAAAGTTAGTTCCAAGGTGGAGATTTGTGGTATTTTGGATCAATCTCTACTATCGACACGGGTAGTTTCATGGTTCGTCAGGAGTTGTGCATGCTGGAGTCGAAGTTTTTTCAAGAATGCTGTCGAAATATGTTAGCTTTGTGTTTAAGTTAGCATGTCGAACTGGGTCTTGCTTGTAAGCCCAATTGTTAAGTTATCTTGTAGCCTAAGTTAGTTTAGTATTCTATAAATAGACTAGTTGTCTTAGGTTGTTGAAGGGGGTTAATTGTTGGTATTCAATTGTAATCTTTGAACACTTATTGAGAAAGTGAATAGTAAAACAGTTTTAACTAATTCTTATTCTTCCTTCTTCTTTATCTTTTGTGAAACCTAATAGGGTTTCTTGTGTTTGTTCAAGAAACTCAATCTTTTTCTCATATTTTGGTTTGTTCTTGACAACATTAATTCACAACAATCATTATTTTGATGTTTGATATATTGGGTGGCAAAAGTTTTTAAATCTAGAAACCTAATTCAAACCCTCCCTTTCTTGTGTTTCTTGCACCTTCAATATGGCAGCAACGTACAAGTGGAACAAGTTGACAAGTTAGGCCAAGCAAAAGCAGAACTCGATAAGCAAGTCAAAGACCTCACCAAGTGAGAATACTATAACATAATTTTATATATAGTTCTCAATTAGATCATTTGATATTTAATTCCATTTTTACTAGATATATTGTCACATTGTAA